ATATATATATATATATATATATATATATATAGTTTTGTATGATAGTATCAAATTTCATAAAATATTATAAATTAAAAATATTTTAATTATAAAAAAAGACTAATCATTCAGTTAATTTATCATAATAATACTTTGTAATTGATGATATATAATCTATTATAGAAAAAAAAATTAGGACATAAAAGCAAGCAACATCATCTGAAAGCAAGGGAAACACTTTTACTTTTAAGCTATGATGGTTTTTCTTTTCTTCTAAGCTGAATTCATTGATAATTACAAAAACTTGATTGTACTATTTTAGTGTGAGTTATACACTCTTTTACGTATCAGTCATATCATTGTGATGAATATGAAATTTTAGAAATACTAATGTTATGCATTATGTAAATGTGGAATTGAATGAAAAGAGCATATAAAGAAAAAAATATTATATTATATGTTTACATGTGTATGATTGACTATGATGAAGTTTACCCGTTTATGATACTAACTGTGAAATGTTAAATCACCTGTGCACGTAAAAGAAAAAAAAAAGATATTAATTTTGATATATTTTAATTGATATAATTTTAAATGATGCTTCTGTGATTGTTATATATAAAATAATGTAGAGATGAGAATGATATAGTATGATATGCAATTTTTTAAATACCTTGACATATAAATTGTCAAATATTCTTCTAATGATTTATTATAAGATTAGCTGACATGTATAGTATTTTTTTTTTAATTATTGGGTTATTTTGGTTTAGAAACATGAGTATTCAATGGCTTGTTAGTTCATTTTGGTTTAAATTATAATGTTTAGTTAAAATTGCAAGGTAAATATAAGTAATAGAAGCGACAACATTTATAGAAGATTCAGACAACTAGAAAAAAAGTTAAGTGTTAACTCTTTCATTTATATAGAGGGTTTTCATTTAATTTTTTATTAATGAAATGTTAATGATAGTAAAAGAAAAATAGATAAGCATGATTGTCACTGTTCAACCATCTAATTCCGCTTTGATTAATTCTTAGTCCCAGGCCGAGTAGTGACATTTTTAGATGTGTTTGTGGGCTGTCAAGTGCCTTATTCACATTCACTAGAAAAAATGACTAAGAATATATGAATTTTCTCGGAGAAGAAGGGTTGAAATCTTTTTTCACAATGGCTAATGTTATAATAGCATGTTAAAAGGTTCAACCGGTAGAATTAATCATTAGAATTAAGACCAGCCTGTCACGGACTAACTTTCGCCAAGTCACCCGTGCGGCTTTAGCGCTCTCTCTTAGCACTAAATCAGCCTAATCACTCACAACACTGGACTTAGCAGCCCCAAGCACTCTTAAGAAGAAGAATAGAGAGAAAGGAATAATTAGCACTTGAATACTAGAATGCTTTGATTCAATGCTTGGGTAAATACAAATGAGGGGAGGAGCTCCTATTTATAGCCTCCTCCATGCCTTTGGCCTTTCATCTAGCCAATGTGGGACTATACAATGTCCAAGAGAAGCTTCTAGATTACAATATAATATTCTATCTCTTAGACTATTCTAATGTACATAAATAACTCTAGAACATTCTAGGTTATTCTTAGATCCTCTTTAGAGCTTTTCCTTCTTGCTCTCCCCTGAACGTGGTGGAATCTTCTAGAGCCCCTTTGATGACTCCTCATATTCGGACCTTCTCTAGAATCTTCCATCCTCTGTTCGTCTCGATGATTTCTCGAATGTCGCGGAGCGTGACAACCAGCTCAATAAAAACAACGTTTCAAAAATTGAAGTTTAACACTTCAAACATAGCTTTAAAATTACCCTAAGTTACTTTATGAGATTTTTTTCTCATTAATTAGCCTGTTTGCAAATTATATATGGGGGAAGCATAAAAAAGTTATTGTCTTGCTTTAGCTCATAAAAGCTCCTCGTTTGTAATTTTTTAATTAAATATTTTATTGATTAAAAATAAAACACTAGATCAATAACATAGAAATAAACAAGATAACACATTCAAACATGAATGGAATTCAATCTATCGAGTTAATTAATATATGATATATAACCTAAAAAAACAGAGACATTTAAGGTCACATTCCACCTAAATTCATTGCGAAACTCCTATTGCCTTATGATACAGAATTATGTCCCTATTAGGTGGCCATATGGGCAGGCACCACAAGTTCAATTAGTAGAATCTATTAGAGGGAGTTTCCTATTTCAGCTTTAACCCTTTTTGTTCTTTTTTTTATTAAGTTGTATATCTTTCCTTTTGCTGGGTCCCAAACCCGAGATAAAAAAAGTGGGGATTGCATTAGGTTGTCTACAACCAAAGTAAAATTTGCCGAAAAATCATTCATGAATCATTTTGATTCTTGTGAATGCTAGGGCGTCCCTTGAATGTGGTGTCAAATAAACAAGTGTTCCCACATTTCAGACGGATGTATGTAAAGAAGTTAGTCCATGAAATTAATATTAGAATAAGAACTTGGAATATAAATACCCTAACATGTAAATTAATGAAATTAGTTGATATTATGTTTCATGGAAATATAAATATCTTATGTATTCAAGAAACTAAATAAGTTGAAGAAAAGACTATGGAGATTAACATCTTAGCTTTTAAGCTTTGATATTTAGTTAGGAGTTGCACTAGAAATGGTATAGACGTAATATATATAAGAGTTTGAAAGATAATATTATAAAAATTAATAGAATTGAAAATAGAATTATAACCGTTACAATAATTATTGATATTAAGATTTTTAATATTATAAGTGTCCATGCTTCTCAAATAGGTTTAAATATACATTCTAAAGAAAAATTTTGGAATGAACTAGAAGAATTAATACAAATGATATATCTTAAACAAAAAATTTTTATTGGGGAAGACTTAAATTGAAATGTTGGTACAGTGTGGAAGATTTTAGAAATATTCATGGCGGCTATGGTTTTGAAGTGATTAATGAAGAAGGTAGAGCCATATTAGATCTTGCTTTAGCGAGTGATTTTATCATTGCAAATATTTTATTCAAAAAAAAGAGATAATATTACTTATAAGAATGAATCTAATAAAACAAATTGATTATTTTTTTATAAAAAAAGAGATCGTCGAAAGTATAAAGATTGTAAAGTCCAAGTGAGAATTTAAGTACTCAATATCGATTATTAGTTCTAGATTTTAAGATAGAGAGTTGCAAAATAAAAAATACTATGAATTGATTCATAGAATTAGATGTTGACACCTAAAAAACAAAAATAAATTATTTTTATAAGTAAACTTCAATATTTTAAGATTTGTGATGTTAATAAAGAAACAAAATTTATGTGGGATAAAGTAACAAAAATAATTAAACAAACGACAAAAGATGCACTCAAAGAATCAAAAGAAAAAGTTTCTATTAAAAAAAAAATGGTGGTGGAATAATAATGTGCAAGAAAATAAAATGTAAGTTATTATAAAAATTGGTTTAAATGTTAAAGTATAGAAAACTAGAAAAAATATAAAATGACTCATAGAAAGTCTAAGAAAACAATTTATGACGCAAAAAATTCTATTTTTAGTGATTATTATAATAGATTAGATACTAAAAAGAGTGAAAAATATATGTATAAACTAGT